GATTTTATTTTTTAAAGGTGCCGCATGCAGCGCCTCATCTGGGTATGTCTGGAGTCTTGGAAGCCTGACTACCCTACGTTCTCCTACAAATGGACCTTGAGAGCTTGTCTGGAGGCTCTAGCAGGGGAGCACAGCTACCTGCATACCCTTGACTGAAGAAAGGACCTCCTCCATCGGGGAAGGTTGTCCTCTTCCACCAAGTGCCAGCTTTGGGAGGGACACACACATGGAGCAGGTAAGGGAAAAAGGGGACGCCCGCCTACCCAGCCAGATCAGCCGTATCAACTCTGGCAATCAATGCAGTGACAGACGTCACAGCCAGATTGCTCTCACATCCTAGATTTTCAATGTAATAATGTAGTATTGATCAAAACATTCCTAAAATGTCTTTTAGAAATAGCTCACAAGTCAGTAAAGCATGGAGAATTGAATTTATTCTGTCCCCAAATCCTACTGAAACGATAGTGAAGGGGGAAAAAAAAAAGGCATAGACAGTTGAGGACAAAAAGAACAATAAAGAAGGGGGTTGCCTGGGTGGCTCAGTCGGTTAAGCGTCCGACTTCAGCTCAGGTCATGATCTCACACTGCTTGTGAGTTTGAGCCCCGCGTCAGGCTCTGTGCTGACAGCTCGGAGCCTGGAGCCTGCTTCGGATTCTGTGTCTCCCTCTCTCTCTACCCCTCCCTCACTCATGCTCTGTGTCTCTCTCTCTCTCTCTCAAGAATAAAACATTAAAAGGTTAAAAAAAAGAGAGAGAATAAAGAAGAAAATGCAACTGGAGAGAGGTCAACAAAATTTTGGAAGATAGGAAGCAGGTGGGTGTGGTAACACAGCCAACCAGAGAAGGTGACACGTACATCTGCAAAAGAAGAAGCCAGTCACAGCCCTGGAATCTCGGGAAGGCCCAGGGACTGGAGAAAGTAGGCAACAAGGAAGTGATTTAAGGGCCAGTGTAACTAAGAACAGAAGCAGTCAGACCCCAAATCCTCATCCTCTTCCTGTGGGGTCAGGAAGCTTGTACAAGACAAGAGGCCTACAGCACTTACTAGCTGTGAATTTCTTACTGTAACTGTACTACAGCCCAACTTCTCCCTCTGCCCAAACCTCCTTCCCTCCCTTCTCCCACATAATACAACAAAAAAAAAAAAAAAAAAAAAAAAAAAAAAAAAAGAGATAGGAGAATAATCTAAAGAAGCCCTGAAGACAGCTGTGAGGCACTGTAGTGAGGAAAGCAGAAGTGGAAGTCCAGTACCGAACAGTGAGATAGATCCTTGCCCTTCCTCTGCTAATGGAAAGCTGGCAAAAAAAAACCCATATCCAGGTCCGGAATCTGGAAGATTCCACCCTACGGAAGCTCATATACTGACATTGGGAGTGACACTGGAAGCATCCCTAATGCAGCAGTTATTATCTCCCTAAAGTGAAACTCAGTGCTTGACAAGCCCCACCCATGAATCCAGTATTCCCAGCATGTAGATCAGGGCCTGTGTCCCACCTGTGGACAGCCAACCAAGGATCACAAATTTTTGTTTTTTTTTTTTTAATGTTTATTTACTTTTGAGAGAAAGAGAGAGAGAGAGTGCAAGCGGGGAAGGGGCAGAGAGAGAGAGACAGACAGACAGACAGAATGTGAAGCAGGCTCCAGGCTCTGAGCTGTCAGCACAGAGCCCAATGTGGGGATAGAACCCACAAATCGTGAGATCATGACCTGAGCCCAAGTTGGACACCTGACTAAGTGCCCCGTAAAGAAAGCCTCTAACAAGAAAAGTCAGAGCCCAAAGCAAAAGAGAAAGAAGCAATCTGGGAGGAAAAAAGAAAGCAGAGAGCAGAGGATGACTTGAAAGTAACCTATACCAGCTCAGAGAATGTAGTGAGGCCATGAAGCAGGACAGGAAGCTCTAGAAAGGCACATTCAGAGAACAAGAAAGAGAATGGGGGAATGTAACAGCAGAAATGTGAACATGTGAGAGAAGAGGTATAAGATAAAGCTGAAGAAATTTCCCAAAAAGTAGATTGGAGCAAAAATAAAAGAAAGTTAAGAGGGTCAGTTCAGAATCCTCTAACTTCCTCCTAAGAAAAATTCCAAGAAGACAACAGAGAAAACAAAGAAGGGGAATTACCCATGAAATATGACAAGAAAATATTCTACAGAAATGAAGGAATTTCCAGACTGAAAGTCAACAGAATGATCAATACAATAAATTAAAAATCATCTACATGAGTACATAACCATGATTTTTTCAGAAAACTGGGAACAAAGAAAAGATCTCTAAAGCTTCCAAAGAGGAAAAAACAGTCATATGCAAAAACAGCTAAAGTGGGGGCGTCTGGGTGGCTCAGTCGGTAAGCGTCCGACTTCAGCTCAGGTCATGATCTCATAGTCCGTGAGTTCGAGCCCCGTGTCGGGCTCTGTGCTGACAGCTCAGAGCCTGAAGCCTGTTTCAGATTCTGTGTCTCCCCCTCTCTCTGCCCCTCCCCTGCTCTGTCTCCGTCTCAAAAATAAATAAAAACATTTAAAAAAAACAAGAAAACAAAAAATAAACAAAAAACCCCAGCTAAAGTCAGAATGGCATCAGAATCTCAAAAGAAACCTGAAACTCAAGAGGCACAATAACTTCAAAATTCTGAGGAAATAGGATTTTCAATCAGGAATTTTAAGCCCAGCCAAACCAATGGGCAATCTGCGTGAATAAAATAAAGACATTTTAAGAGCGTCTCAAAGATTTCTCTCACACCCTCTTCCTTGGGAAGCTACTAGAGAAAGTGTTTCACTCAAATAAAGGTATAATCCCAGGAGGAAGACACAGGACACAAGAAATAGGGCATCCAGAAAGGACAAAGGTGAAGGGACCTCCACGATGATGGTGAATGAAGTTCTAGGCTGACGGCCGTGCGGCAGGCTGGAACACAGGGACGGAGGGCTCCAGAGATATCTGGATGAGCTCAGATGTGCTGAGACACAACACTGCTGTATAGACCAGTTTGCACATAATGACAGACATTTAGAAAAATGGGTGAATGAACGTCAGGAAAACAAACAGTGGTACAGAAAGGCGATGGCTCAGCTATAAACCACACTTACAGAGTCCTACTAATGTAAATATCGATTTAACTAAAATGGTGATATCACTATATTGAAAGGATCAGGGGAAGGAAGGAAGGGGAAATAAAGCCAACTGCTATCTGCCATTATAAAAAGTGGAAGGATAATATCTAAAATTGAAAATTCAGAAAGAACAGTTGTAAGCATGTTAAAAATACGAGATTAAACATCTGAAGGAGTTAAAAGTGGTTCCTTCTGAAGAACAGTTTCTAAGCTGAAGAGGGGTGAGGCAGAGGTCCTTCTGCGTTTTACTAAAAGCCATAAAATATTTGATGGTTTAAAGTGTTCATTTGTTTTAAAACTATTTGACTATATAGTCAAATTAAAACTATTTGACTATATAACATGCACAATATATGTACTATACATCTGAATGTAGAGCATGTTTAAAATATGTAAGTGGCGGGGCGCCTGGGTGGCTCAGTTGGCTAAGCGTCCGACTTCGGCTCAGGTCACGATCTCACAGCCCGTGAGTTCGAGCCCCGCGTCAGGCTCTGGGCTGATGGCTCAGAGCCTGGAGCCTGCTTCCGATTCTGTGTCTCCCTCTCTCTCTGCCCCTCCCCCGTTCATGCTCTGTCTCTCTCTGTCTCAAAAATAAATAAACGTTAAAATATGTAAGTGGCATATCAAAATTAACAAAAAAGAAAAGTATTCCCACAAGAAAATCAGTTATTATATTTATATTTTTATGTTATGTTTATGTATGCTTATCTTTATTGTAACACTCAAGATGGTTAACTCTGTATGTATGCTCTGACTCTGAAAATAATTCCAAGAGTTGTAATTTCCTAAGGTCACCACTTTGTAGAAAACCAAGAATTTAAATACATATGTTTTAGTGTGTTTGCTCTAAAAAACTGCCCCAGTTTTTTACAGTCAGAAATCAATGACTAGTTAAGATTGATATTTGTTAGGAAAAAAATCAAATCATTAGGTCATAACAGATGACAAGCAGAACCAGTCAGCAAAGTAGTAACCGCTTGAAAGAGCCAGTGTGATGCCAGAAAGCATGGTTACACAACACGGAAGTGAGATCATCACCTCATTATGCTCAATACCAGTTATATTCTCACTAGACAATCACTCTCAGATCTGGATCTCACAGCTTGAGACAGATCCAGACAACTTGGAGTGCATTCAGATAGGAGTTAGAGGTAATTAAAAAGCTCAATACTAAGACCTCTGGCAACACCCGAGGAAGCTGTGAAAGCTGTGATTCCTCAGTCTGGAGACAGGCAGAGAAACAAACAGAAAACTTCCCCACAGAAAGCAGAGGGCCTCTGCTAGAGAGACCACAAGAGTTAATGTGAATTTTAAGCACATTTAAAATTCAAAGGGAAGATATAGGTTATATATAATAACCTATTTTCAGAGAGTTTTGGTTGCCCACAGTGGGGATAAATTACCAAAGAAGAAATGTATAGTCTTAATCTTGGGGAAGCAGAGATTAAAAGGAAAAGAATCTATCCTACATTCTTTCCATATGGCACACACATGAATGTCAGGGAATAAACTAAGATTTCTTAAATTTGAGATTCAGAAACTACACACTGAAAGGGAAATCAGCATTATGTTGTCTTTATAAAAATGTACCAAGTAAAACCTGAAAGTTGCCCTTGCTAATATAAAACCAGTGAAAAACTAGGCTGAAGGCCCACTTCATCTGCTGTATCTAATCTTCCACAACTTTACGTAAGTATTCTAATGTTTGCCTAATTTGCAAACCGTACTCTGTTCCAGAGTTAGACTGAAATGTTTAACTTTTACCAGTTTGGTACAGTTCTCAGAAATTAAGAAATAAACCATTCAAGATTATTTCAAACGGCCCCATCTCCCCTTAGCTTAGAATCAATACTTGATTTCTCACAAACTGAAAAGCTGACTTTGTTCCCTCTTTACCTTCAGTGCTGAGAAGAACATGTGGTCCACTCCCATAACTAAGGCTTTTAATCTTCTTTCCACATAAGGCTTCCAGCTTTTTGGGTACAAGTGTACTCTGGTTATCTCCAGTTCCTAGACAGTTACTATAGTTCAGTCCAAATACAAAGACCTAGAAAACAAATAGTTTTGTCTGAATCACTCGGACTAAAGTTACACAAAGGCTCCCCTCTCCACCCTGAAAATAAGACACACTCAAGTTCAGTGTGACAGCTCAGTAGGTAGGAAGAGACTGATCAGATGAAGAAAAATTCAACCTGTGCTGACATTACTTCAGTTGCAGAATGTTTGGCTGTACTATGAAATTCAGACTAGTACAGGGTTGAGGGGTATCAAATCAAGAAACTGCAAGAAGAGAGAAATTACATCAAAGACACGGTCTTCTAGAATTTCAGGTTCTTTTATCCACAACCTTTTCAGAAGACAAGGAGGGGGGCCTTGCTGGATACATCTAGGATACTGGTAGGAGAAAGACTGGTGGGAAAGGTAAGGGCTAAGGGAATAAAGAACCAAAAAACATACCAGGGAAAGTGAAATGAATGTGTCTATGGATCTTCCACTGAAAATATTTCAAAACAGAGACCGATATGAGTAAGCTTGCATTTTGGAAAGATCAACTGGCCACAACCTTTTCTTGGTCTTCAAACTGCACATTTTAAAGCTCACCCCCTAAAATTACACTCTGGGTTTTGAGAGATTCTTACCTCATCATTGTCAGTAACGTACAGTGCTTCATTGGCTGAGGTGCCAAAGACACATGCTTTCCGAATAGATGCAATTTCTTGAGGTGAGAGCAGAGTGAAGATTGGCCACTTTCCTACATCCACCATGACTCTGACTTCAAGTAATTCCTATAAATAAGCTGACATCTCTGCTACGACAAAAAGAATACCAAGGGAAAATCAACCACTATGCTAACTTAAAAAAAAAAAAAAAAGACACTGTTAATAAAAGGAAATAAAAGCTAATTCCAAAAGAAACCGTTACCTCTGGTTGAATGGATCACTCACTTTCCCCAGCAACCTGTCCAATCCTTCCTCCCCGGTCAAACCTGGGCCCTTCCCTGCAATGACAGGTACAACTTGCTAGAACCAGCTGTTTGTCTTGCCCACTTAAAGTCGGTGTTTATCTGTTACATACATGCTTATTTGCAACCAGACAGCAAATAATGGAGAGAAACCATGCTAACTGGATAGAACCAGGGTCTCTCATCAGGATTTTTTTCCTTAGAATATTGAGATAAAGGTTACAATACTAGTTTGTCTAAGACGGTGAATTCTTGCCTGAGAGAGAGGGAGAGGGAAAGTGTGTGTGTGTGTGTACCGTGAATGTTCTACAAATCAGAATCGTTACCTCTACCTCCCCACTCTCCCACCACCACCCCCAGGTTACACTCAAAGACCCCCATCTCTTGTAGAAAATCACTGCCACACAAAGCCACTGTTTAATGATGGGAATGGGACATCCCTCACTAAGTCTAGAGTGGCAAAAATATTAAGAAGCACTAGACTAAGATATACTGAATGAAACATAAGTATTATATTCTGATCCTAATTTCTATGATTACATTTTCTACATAACTACAGATTGTATTTCACATTGAAAAAAGTTATTATATGAACAAGGGAAGACAATTCACCCTAATCTTGGTGTTCGAACTAATGACTATAGCCTTCATGCAAGTAGCAATTAGCTTAAATAGTATCCTATAAAAAGTAGACATATATTATATACGTTTCCATAAAATTCTAAACTTGACCTGTTTAAGGAGTTTTACACAAAGAATCCTGGTCATGGCCCCAATTTCTTCTAGGGTTAAAAAGTACTTCTAGAGGGCGCCTGGGTGGCGCAGTCGGTTAAGCGTCCGACTTCAGCCAGGTCACGATCTCGCGGTCCATGAGTTCGAGCCCCGCGTCAGGCTCTGGGCTGATGGCTCGGAGCCTGGAGCCTGTTTCCGATTCTGTGCCTCCCTTTCTCTCTGCCCCTCCCCCGTTCATGCTCTGTCTCTCTCTGTCCCAAAAATAAATAAATGTTGAAAAAAAAAAAAAAAAAAGTACTTCTAGAAATTCCAGGGAGGGGCACAGTCACAAAACCCTACCATGCCAAGTGAGTTTCCATTCTGGCTCTCACCTCTGGAAACTGAAATAGAACCAAATAGTTTATAAATACAACCAGGGTTTCCTAATGAGGTACAGAACTCTTGAAGTTCCTTCCTATTCACTCTCTTCTCAGACCTCTAAAAATAGCCAAGAGAACCAGGCTCAAGACCAAGGCGTTCCAGGCTCTAGCACCTCTGATAGCACCTAGAGACAGAGCCTATGGGGCTTAGGTATACTTAGCCAAAGCCTCAGTTTCCACCATCCAGGGAGATTTTTCACATCAGCACCAACTTGGATGACAAGGACCAGATAGCTGCTAAGCCCCAAGAGTCACACACACATATTCAATAAGCATTAAACACGATCAGGACAGGCCAAACCCCACCATTACAGAGCCAGACTCCTGGAACATTTGAATGTTCTGAAAAGTGTGTGTGTGCATGTGTGTGAGCATGCACATGCTGGTGGGAACAGGTAAAAGATTTGGGGAAGGGCAAAAAATAAATACATAGGGGTGCCTTGGTGACTCGGTTGAGCGTCTGATTCTTGATTTGGGCTAGGATCATGATCTCATGGTTCATGGGTTCAAGCTCCATGTTGGGCTCCACACTGATAGCTGGGAGCGTGCTTGGGATTCTCTCTCTCTGTCTCTCTCTGCCCCTCCCCAGCTCTCTCTCTCAAAATAAATAAATTTTTTTACAAAAACTAATAAGCATGTTGAAAAAATGTGTTTCAACTGGTACCAAGAGGTAAAGGAAAGTAAGTTTCCCTATCATCCCTCTCTGACCCCCTCCTCAAAGGCCTTAAGAGTTAGGCCCTACTGTTAACAATTGTTTCTAATACCTTCCAGGGATAGTGTATGCTTACAAAATCATTATATGTATGTATGTGTAGAAGTCTTTTTTTCCCTTCTTAACAGTACATCTTGGAAACCATTCGATATGAGCATATGTAGACATTTTATTTCTTTTCAATGGTATTATATAATATTCCATTATATCAAGTTAACAATTTACCTGCTTCTACTGAGAGACTATTTAAGTCACTGCTAGTCTTTTCCTAACATAAACAATACTGCAATTATTGTCTACACATACTATTTTTTAATACATGTCTTTTTTTTTAATACACACATCTATAAGAAAAACGCCTAAAAACGGAACTGCTGGGTCAACATCTAATTGCTATTTTACCTTTAACAGCTATTTCAAATTGTCCTCTACTGAAATAACCCACAATGTATGGCAGCACCTGGTTACCCACATCCTTACCACAACAGCGGATTATCATGGTGTCTAAGTTTTCTTTAAACTTGATTCTCTCTTATGATGAGTGAGGCTGGGCATCATTTAAAAAAAAATAATCACAATAACAGCAATAATAATAACTGACATTTCTTGAGCACTACATGCCAAGTACTGTTCTTAATATTTTACATCTATTAATTCATATAATCCTCACTTTACAGACAAGGAAATGGAAGCAAAGAGATTTTAAGATTTTGCCCAACCCAGGAAGTAGCTGAGTCAGGGCCTGAAGCCAATACAATCCGGAATTTGCACATGAACTGTTCACCTCATGGTTCAGAGCCCATGCGTCATCCTTTTACATAAAGTCCCTATTTTTTCTACTGGACTATTGTTCTTTGCTTTGTTCTTGATTTTTGTGTTCTTTGTATGGCAAGAGGATCGTTTTTTTGTTTTGTTTTGTTTTGTTTTGTTTTGTTTTGTTTTGAGAGAGAGAGAGAATGAGCACAAGCCAGGGAAGGGCTGTGAGACAAGGGGACAGAGGATCCGAAGCAAGCTCTGCCCTGATCAGGCTGAGAGCAGCAAGCACTATGCGGGGCTCAAACTTATGAACCCCTCCCCACCCCCAACCCCACAAGATCATGGACCTAAGTGATGTTGGATGCTCAACCTGGCCACCCAGGCGCCCTGGGGATGATGGTTTTAAATGCCCTGCCATGCCAAATGGCCTGCCTTGTGCCTCTTACAAAACAGACAGGGAAAGGAGTCACCAGAAATGAAACAGTGCAAATGTCTATAAGCAGATGGATAAATGCCCCCCAAAAATCCAGAACTTTAATTTTCCTAGAATATGAAAATCCTAGAATATGAAATTTCCTAGCTAGTCCTCAAAATTTAATATTGTATGTAATATAGAATTTTAAATAGAGAAAAGGGGAGAGGGAATTAAATTTGCCAAAAAATGTGATTCACCACATTTAAAATTACAACACGAAAGGACAGTACCATTCAAACTTCTACAATTTCCTGGGGTGCCTGGGTAGCTCAGTCGGTTAAGCGTCTGACTTCAGCTCAGGTCATGATCTCGCAGTTCATGGATTCAAGCCCCACATTGGGTTCTGTGCTGACAGCTCAGAGCCTGCTTCAGATTCTGTCTCCCTCTCTCTGCCCTCCACTTGGGCTCTGTGTCTCTCCTTCTCAAAAATAAACATTAAAAAAAAAAAAAAACCTTCTGTAATTTCCTGACAACCGTACAATTATTCTGAAGTCATTAATCAGTCACAGGCAACTCTGCCCCAAGGGTATGGTAATCTACTCAAAAGTCACCTTTCATAATGATGGCTTATTATATGAACGGAGTTTACCCACCGCTAAATTACTTGAGGCTTTACTTTACAAGATATCTTCCCAAAGACTTGTAATTTAGAAGTTAATATGAAACCAGGTCATATACACGTCCACACCCATCACAAAAGCAGAAAGCATCACCGATAGCCTCGGCATGGTGGAAAGCACTGAGAATCCTGAGGCATGTGTTTTATTCCCAGGTTGGCTTTTAATCAATCAGTGTGACATGCTACCTACCTTTCTGAGCCTGGGTTTCTCAAAAATCTGTCCCATAAAATTCAATAATGTGATGTTCAAGATGTAGTGAGCAAGCTACAGGGGATTTCTGAACGCATGAGAACATGTGCAGTAGTGCTGCCCAAGCAAGTAAGTACTCCTAGCAACACAATCCAGTGAAGTAAATAAAGACCAGGAAGAAAGAAACGAACAGTGACCAAGAACTGCAGAGACACTATGCTAGGCAGCTTCACATACACTATTTCCTTAAAAAAAATTTTATGTTTATTTTAGAGAGAGAGAGAGAGAGAGAGAGAGAGAGAGAGAGAGAGAACAAGCAGGGGAGGGGCAGAGAGAGACGAGGACATAGAATCCAAAGCAGGCTCCAGGTTCCAAGCTGTCAGCACAGAGCCTGATGCGGGGCTCGAACTCACAAACTGTGAGATCATGACTTGGGCCAAAGTCGGACGTTTGACTGACTGAGTCACCCAGGCAGGCACCCCATACACTGTTTCATTTAATCTCCACAATAGTCTTGAAAGGAAGAAAGGTCAGAATCCATTCCTAGCGGATGAGGAATGAGGCTTGGAGGTGAAATGACTTCCCAAGGTCACAGAGCAGTAAGTGACATAGTCAGGACTCAACCCCCACCCCTCTGATACTTCTTACATCAGAGAACATCAGTTCTGCCCCTTCAGTGTCTCAACTTCTTCAACATTACTTCCTTCTGACTTTATTTTGTCTAATAATGTATACCAGCATCTGCTTTTTAAAATGTTTCAAATACAAAAAGTACTCCCCCCATCCCTCCCCCCAAAAATGTGTCACCAATATGCATCTATCTAGATTTGCCTGGTTAAACCTTGTGAATGTCACTCATTCCTTTCTTCTTCCAAAACCACTAGGAGGCAGGCCCTGGAG